GTGCGGGGCCCAGCCGCGTCACCAGCGCCGGGACGCGCGGGACAAGTGGAAACGAGACCGTGGGCCCGGCGCGACAGCCGCGATCGCAGCTGGTGTCTCGACATAAAGTTTCCTACGGAGACAATCCCTCGTGAAACCCCCAGCGATGGCGCGGGGCAGGCAGCCGCCGTCAAACCCCGCTCCTGTGACAACCCATCCTTCCCGCGTCCGGACGAGAAACATCCGCGTGTGAGAAATAAAAGAGAAAAGCGCGCCCGGGGGTCCCGTGCCCAGGCTGTACAGCCCCCCGCCGTTGGTAGATTCCCACTCATTCCTTCAGTGCTCACGCAGCAAAATATTTCCCCGAGTGCTGCTAAAATAAACTATCACCGTGTGTCCTCCGTGTGCCAGTACAGGCCGGCGCGGCACGGGCGGGAGCCCAGGACGGTGGTCCTGGCCCGAAGGACGACTCAGCCAAGTAGCGGCCATGCGGCGCAAACACCGGCCCTGGCCTGCGAGGAAAAGGCCGGTAGCAACTGCTCCACCAGCCCTTGGGTTCAGCCCTCGTGCTGGCTCTGCGCTCCTCGGTTTCGCTTTCTACTCAAAAATTGCGAGTCTGCATCTTCCTTCAGCAGCTCCTGTAGGCTCATTGACAGAAAAAGCGTATTTGCCCACATCCTCGCTCTTCCCTTGCAGGTCTTACATAATCTGATACCTGACTATTTTTTGTTTCCTCCCACCGTAGTTCCTACAATTTTTTTCAGGCTTTCCCAGATGTTCTAGCAGTTTTTTTATTTCCGTGATTTCGTTCCCTGTTCCTGGTTGAGGTGATAGAGGGGACTCTGCTAACGCCTCGGGCTAGGTGTTGCGTTGGGCAGGTTGTCCTCTTCTGACCAGCTGGATCCATCCTTTCTCGCTCAATCAGCATAAAAGCACCCAAGATGTACAAACAGAGAACTGATGCCTTGCACTAGAGAAAATCCCTTTGTCCAGCAGACAAACAACTGGAGTCAGCACAAGTAAAATGTAATTACTTATGAAGACTGAAATAGAAATTTGTCTCCATTTGCAATTAAATTCGTTCCCTATAAACATCAGAAACTGGTGGGGGGGGACACTAATGTGATTTGTCCCTCCCAGTCTAGTTATTTACTAGACTCTTTCTGACTCCACTGTGCAAGTTGGACCCCAGTCTGTGTTTTGGGAAACATACCAACAATTACATATATTTAGCTGCAGAAAATATGGGGACAACTGTATTTTTTTTTTCACACACCCACATATAAGATCCAGATGAACTTGGATACATCGTGCGAAAGAAATATTCCTTATTTTAAGGAATCGTGCCATCTCGGTGCTTAGAAATAATTCACAAAACATATCCCTTGCTCTTGGCATCTAGGCACGATGATGGAAGAGCTGTCATGTAAGCGAACAAGTAGTGGGGTAAATCCTAAATGCTGCCACAACTGTACAACAATGGGTAATTTCCAGAAATAATTGTTATCGATTAGACTGCATAATGAGATATGAAAATAAAAGGAATAAGTAATCTGGGAGAAAATATCACTTCAAATTCTTCCAGAGTATTTCTTAAACCTGTCAGAAGACCTTTTGGTGATCACAGAAACTTATTTTAAACAAAACGCAGTGCACTGCAGCACATTAGGAGCATGTAATGTACTTCCACAACACAACAACAACAAAAAAAAAGCTTTAATGAAGCTAGATACGTATCATTTCAAAGACTTTTGTTGCGTAGGTGAGAAAAAATTATGATTGCATAAAAAAAAAGATTTTCAAAGACTTCTAGAGACAAGTGATTTTCATACCTACATAGCTGTTCTGCAGAACAGCAGCATTCCAAGTAATATAAAGTATATAAAGGCGTGTAGTAAAACTGAAATTGAAAATAGTTACTAGAGCTGATAGTTTCAAAAGTGAATCCTGGCTGCATCTCCAAATTACCAGACATTTTTGATGTTGGCGACGTTACTCCTGAGGCCGTGTCATTGGCTTTATCTCAAAAAACTGCTGGCATCTCCCACCAGGTTTTCCTTGCACGAGTTTGCCATTTGTTCTAGACTTAAACAATAAAATACAATAGGAATGACCTTTCAGCGGGTTAGAACATTGATATTTACACGTGTATTTTATCCTATAATAGCTTTCAGACTTCTAATTTGGAGAGAAATCAAAATATACATGACTTGATAACCTGGTTCTCAATAGATTTGGTATTTGATCATCTTTTTCTTTTTTACATGTCAGGAAGATAATTCTATTTTTGTTAGAGGTAGCAGAACTTGTATGCAAGTACTGGTTTCCTATATTCCATCCCAATTTTTAATTTTATTCTACCAGTTTAAGGACAAAATTTAACTCTCTAGTAAGGAATTTGGAACAGTCATACTGGTTTGACAGCTTAGTATGTTATTTTGGGAACTTTGCTTTGCGGAGCTGAATTCACTCATGCCTTGGAGATTATGTGCCTTCCCTGACTGGGTGTGCAACTGCCCTCTGTAACTCAGAATAAACCCACAGCAAAAGTACGCGCCTTCGTTCACATCTAAAGATATAATTTGCACACATATGACTTCCAGCTTTCTTTTTTCCCCCCTCCTGTCTCAAACCTAGTGCCTGCTGCTTGCTCCCCGCCTTCCTCAGCCATCCTAGGTCCCTCCGATCTCCTTCCTCACCTTCCAGTTCCTCTCGAACAAGGGAGAGCTGCTCACAAAAGAGCTGATAGTAAATTTCTTGGTCAGAACTCACAGATTTGATGAAATCCGAACGGCGCACGCAAGTCACGCAATTTCGCAGGAATATCTGGTGGAACCCAGCGAAGAACCCCACCTGGTTCCTCCCCCTTGGCAGCCTGGAGCCGCACCACCAGCACTTGTGCCGCCGCCAGTAGCACAGACTGCCTGAAGCAGGAACCCTTTGTGCCTCCGAGGTGCGAGCCTTGCTGGCAGCCAGCGAGGCAGATGGCTGGGAAGTTCCTTTCCTTTTCTGCAAAGAATTTTTAAATTTAGGATTTTTTTCAGAATAACCCAGAATTGCAAATTGACGCTATCTCCTATTAAACGAGCACTTTGCACCACCCTGCCTTACAAGACACCCTGTTTCTTCCGTCCTGATGCTCACTGTCAGTGAAAGGCTTCTTCCCTCAACCCTCCCTGACGTTTCTGTTCTGATTCACCCTGCTTATAACCGAGAGAATGATACCGAAAGCTATAATTAGAAAGAAAGCATCGAAACATTTCACAGTAGCATATTTCTAGATGTTGCATACAATAGCTGGGGGACTCTGTGAAGCAAAATTGTGCTTCAGGTAAGCAAAAAGACAAATACCGAATTATTTTACGCTGGCGTGGAGTGTTTTTGTGCTGCAGCAGGATTGCCTCAGCCCGAGTGCAAAGATTACATCTAGTTAGTGATGTATAAGTGCAGATCTTGCTCTTATGTAATTCTCTTTACCCTGGTAACTACTCGCTCTCAGGCTGAGCGCTGGCTCCCATTAGGCAATTCATCCTCGGCTTATCCAGGAGCAGAGATGTACGTGCTCACCAGATGGTTATTTCTCACTAGCTGAACTTTGAATATGCAGAACTCCCTGCTCACACCGGCTCCTCGAATCTTGCTCTTACCATCGCTTTATTCAGTGTTTTCAGGCTTTTTATGATCAAGGAAGATTTGCAACTGAACTGAAACATTTAGATAAAGGGCGAGGAATAGAAATGCGAAAAAATCCAAAGGAAGCACAGTTTTTGAAGCTATTGGAAACAGGATATTTTAAATGGTTGACTGATTTGTTACCATTTTCCATCCTCTCTCTGAGTC